GCTGTGCCTAAAGACCTAGGCAACCACTTAAAAACAATTGGTGCTGACAAAATCACCATTGGTCAGCTGCAGAAGGCCACCTCACTGGGATCTGCTCGCATAATCCGCCGATACATCACGCAGTCCTAAACACTTGGGAAGTGTTCGACTAGTGATTGGTGATACGAAACCCAGCATAGTTATCTCGTTTGCTGTGTACACTGTCATTTTTTGTAATAATAATAATAATAATAATAATAATAATAATAATAATAATAATAATAATAATAATAATAATAATACATATTTCTTGCTACTAAACTGTAGAGCAGTTTTTCGGAACCTCAGCAACTTTAAGATACTTGGACTTCAACTTCCAGAATTCCCCAGGCAGCATGGACTAATGAGTGATGAATCCAGAATGTTCATTGAAGAATTCTGGAAGTTGAAGTCCACGCATCTTAAAATTGCTGAGGATCAGGGACACTGCGGTAGACCAGGGGTGTCAAACTCAAGGCCCGGGGGGGGGGGGGGGGGGGGGCCCCCCCCCGGGGGCTGAGAGCGGGCCGGTGGGGCCGCCCTGGAAAAAGCAAAGGACCAGCCTTCTGGTGCCCCTGCCAACAAAAACAGAGCTTGGGTGGGTCACAAGCAGCCCTCCTGAGCTCCAATTTCACTGGCAGAGGGTTGCAGGAGGCCGTCGCAGGCGAAAACAGAGCTTGGGAGCCTGTTTTCACTGGCAGAGTGCTCGGGCGGCCACAGGCGACCCCGACTCGAGTGACGTCGAGCCGGCCACATTCACCCTGGCCATATCTACTTTTCCCCCACCCCAAGGTCAAACACAACCCTGATGTGGCCCTCAATGAAAATCGAGTTTGACACCCCTGTTGTAGACAAAGGGTAAACCTGGGGCAGGTTGCTTCCAATGTGTATATAAAAGGATCGGAGTGAGCCAGCCAAAGTAACAAATCTGAGGAACGAGCTTTACTCAAGAACTGTGTCTCCGATACCAGTTTCTCATTTTTCTATAGAAGAGAGGGATCAGTAAAAGCTATTTTATTTCATAAGATTCAAACCAGGGACCTTTAATATTTTGAATCATTTTACTGCGCCAAGCTCTCATACATAACGTACATAGTAATTCTACTTGGGCTTTAGCACATGCAAACTGCCCGCTGGCTGGAACTATCACGAGGGTCTAGTAACTTCCTTTCCTTTTTTAAAGAAAAAAGTGGAGCCTTTCAGGGCCCTGGATTCCACGCCCTACATAGCAATGTTTTCACGTGGGAAAGCACAGGGGTTGCCTCCTACCAGTTGGCTCAGCTGCTCCTGTTTCTGCCTCTTCTCCTCTTCTTCCTCCCCCGCTTTGGGTTCATACAAAGGCAAAGCTTCCGTCAGGGCGATGGTGACAAAGGCTGTCAACGAGACTCCCCCACGGAGGCCACCCATACCGCCCTGCGGAGAAAGGGAAAAAAAGAAAAGCTCAAGGATGAGGACCAGAACGTCATCGTGAATTTTGAGGCATGAGAGTCGCCTTTGTATGTGTGCAAAAAGAAGTGGAGAAATGAGCCACATCGGAGGGGCCAAACCAAGACCTCACCTGCATCTCTCGGTGATAGACAGGGTGCGAGTCAGTGAATGAACCATCACTCTGTTGCTGTTCCAGAATCCACTGCACCGATCCCTGGATCCCGGCAGTATCCACATCCTGGTAGATCCGAGTCAGGGACAAAATCTTCACCACAAAAGCTGTGAGCCTGAAGCAGAAGTGAAATGAGTAAACTCTCGGGAACGTTGTGGACGGGGACGCTAGTGTCAACTCATAAAACATTTTGTATACATGTTTTATAGTTGACAACAGAAAGAAGGGGGGGGGGAGTTTCAAACAGCAGACAGCAGAGTGGAATTGAAAGTACATTCCATTCATATTTTCTTCAAACACTGATTAGATGACTGAAGCTTCTGCCCCGCAAAAATCTAATTGGAGAGCATGATTGATGACTCTTGGCTATGGACGTTTTTCGTTGGATGATACACCCAGAGGGGTGGGGGGGGGAAAGCAGGATCAAGGGTGACAGTGAATTACGTATCTCAGAGTTGGCTACGCCCAGGTAAATGCCGGACGTAGAATGTTACCTTCAAATAAATCTTTTTTAGTTTTGGGAGTGTGACTCGAGGCTCATGATTTAATTGGAGGCAACCCAGTTTAAAAGGGAGGCTGATGTGATGGGAATGTCAACTCATCAAGCATTCCTATGCCTGTTTTAGAGTTGCCATAAACAGGGGGAGGGGGAAGGAAAGAAATCTGGAAGAGCAGTGCAGCACATTCCAACACTTATCTTAAAAAGACTGTAACTAAGCTACCAGAGCTTCTGCCCCTAGAATAAATTTAATTGGAGAACGTGATTGATGACACCCAGCTCATGAACGTGCTTAATTGGAGAATCTGATTTATGAGACACCCAGTGGGGAGGGGGGGGGGAAATAGGGTCACAGATTACTGTAAATTACTTATGCCAGAGTTGGCTTCATACAGGTCATGCCAGTATGTCGCCTCTAATAAATCCTTTGAAGTTTTTTGAAGTTTGGCTTCAAGACTCATGATTTAATGAGGGTGATCGCTGGAATCCTAACAGCAGAAGTAGCAAGGGCCTTTTGAATAACTGTTTTCAGTAACAAGGAGTGTCTTTGAGATTACTATTTCTAGTTCCCTTGAAGTGACAAGCAAGAACATGAAATCTGACAAGATTCGGCTCAGACAGACCGAAGAGGAGAACCACCTAGAGCAGGGGCATCAAACTCGATTTCATTGAGGGCCGCATCAGGGTTGTGTTTGGCCTCGGGGGGCTGGGATGAGCATGGCCAGCTCAATGTCACTCAGGTCAGTGCCTGTGGTTGCCCGAGTGCTCTGCCAGAGAAAATGGGCTCCCAAGCTCCGTTTTCAGCTAAAACGGCCGCCTGCAACTCTCTGCCAGTGAAAAATGGAGCTTGGGAGCCCGTTTTCTCTGGCAGAAGCACCATGAACCAGTCTAGCCGGATCCTTGAGTTTGGCAAAAGGCATACCAGGCTAAGAACCTTGCCGTGATTTGCAGTGAACAGATGGACAGCTTTGGCTACCACCATGTTGTAATGGGCCATGGGAATGATCTTGAGAGGCAGGAGGGAGAGCTACAAACTGGACAACTGGTGTGTAAAAATATATATCTAAATTCAGATTCCTCCTATCCCAGACTAAAAGGACCCTTCCTAGTGGTTAGGATGCTGGGTTGACAATCAGCAGGCTCGTGTTCAAAACCCAGTTGTTGCAAGATGGGGTGAGCTCCTGTCACTTGCTCCAGCTCTTGTCCACCCAGCAGTGCAACCACGGGTAGACGGGTACCACTTCAGTGGGCAAATTAACAGGAATATGTAATCAGAGCTCCAATTGGTGCTCTCCAGGTGATGTCACCAGCAAATCCACTCAACCCGGAAGCAGTTCAGTGGTCCTGATATGAAAAGACTAAAATGCAAGAAGGCTGTTAATAGTTGGGAGCTTTTGCATTTTTACCTAGCACTAGGTACTGTGAAAATTGGCCACCCTTAGTGTACCTCTGCTGTCATTAAGGAGCCGCTGGCATCTTGACAGATATTTGGGTGCCATTTTGTTGGTAGGTATGTTTTTTATGTTATGCTTTTAAACGTTTTGCTTTAGATAATAATAAAAGCTTAAAATCCCTTCCAACTCCGTTATTCTATATATTCTGTATTTGCTGGACTATTCATTGTCTCTGGATCCCAATAACCAATAGTCCTGATCATTGCCTCATACTTTTGCAAAACAGAGCTGTCGGTCAGCAGAACAGGAAGCCATATGACATGGTGATTTTTTTTCTTCGTTAGAGATCTTTAAAAATACTCGTACACCATCATCTGTCAGAAAGGTACTGGTGCATTCCACCCTGAGCCCAGATAAGATTAGATCCAGGGGTGGTATATTCAGCAGGTTCTGACAAGTTCTGGAGAACTGGTAGCAGAAATTTTTAGTAGTTCGGAGAACCGGCAAATGCCACCTCTGACTGGAGATTTTACAGTATCCTTCCCCTGCCACGCCCACAGAACCGGTAGTAAAAAAATTGGAATCCTACCACTGATTAGATCTCTATGGTATTTCCCAACTCTATGATTCCCAGTGAAGCTCACTCCTCCCTTCCCTGTGGCTGACCTCTTTTTTTTTTTGCACGGCTAGTTTGTTTGCCAACCTCTTTTGCACGGCTAGCTCTTACCAGGTGCTGCTGGGGGTGTCGATCCAAGCCCCATAAGATCCATTAGTTTTCCGATAAGTGAGGATTCTAGTATAGCCTGCAACGAAAGAGAGAAGAACTTAATGGTGCTTTTCGAGAAGGAGAAAGACGGGTTTCCTCTCTGCATACACTTTCAATTGATGGCTTACACTATTTCTTGTGGCATAGTCTAGTTCAGAGTGTTGGAACATTTCTGGCTTTGTGGGACCGGCAGGCAGGGGAAGTTGGCGGAGGAGGCGAGAAGGGGTGGTTTGTTGTGAGAGGCTGGTAGGCAAGCCACGTGTAACAGCTCCATTTGCACAAGCAGTGCGCACGCACATCTGCCGCTCACTTAGATGGAGTGTGCGTGCATAAGTTGAGGATGCAATGCGCACGGGCTTCCTGGCCATTTCCGCAGCCCAGTTGCAAACCCCTCACGGCCAACTGGTGGGCTGTGGCCCACAGGCTGGGCTAGAGGATGGATTTCAGCAGGCACATTGAACACAGAATTGTTAATGAAGTAGAACATTATCAGCTGGTCGTTGCTCCAAAACAGGGGTCTCCAAACTTAGTAACTCTAAGACTTGTGGACTTCAGCTCCAAGAATTCCCCAGCCAGCATGGTTGGCTGAGGAATTCTGGGAGTTGAAGTCCATGAGTCTTAAAGTTGCCAAGTTCGGAGACATTGGCTCCAGAGAAAGCCAGTAGAGTAGGGGTGTCAAACACAAGGCCCCGCGGGTTTGATTTGTCCCACAGTGTGGTCGGATCCAGCCTGTGGGCCGGTCTTGGAAAATCTAGGGGGCCGGCCTGTGTCGCTTCAGCTGGTCTACCCAGTGCAAAGAGGAAACATGCCAGCAGTCTGGGGAGTGGTGTCAAACTGGCTATGCCCACCCAGTCGGCCACACCCTCCCAATCATCCATGCCCGCCTGGGCTTTCCCCCTCAACCACAGCCCTGATGCGGCCCTCAGTGAAATTGAGTTTGACACCCCTGCAGTAGGTTGATGATATAGACGTTAATCTGTAAATGCTGGTGCTCCTTTTCGATTTATCGGCTGATATGGCCAAAGCAGCAGTGAGATCCTACCTATTCTACTACCGTGTTTCTCATATAATAAGGCCGGGTCTTATTTTTTTTTTTGAGCCTCGAAAAAATGGCTAGGCTGTCTTTTCAGGGGTGACTTAATTCCCCCCCCCTTGCATCTTTGGGTGGGCGGGTGGACGGCTTGGATGTTGACCTCGGCGTTTGGTGGGGCACTTCGTATCGGGGTCAATGCAGGCAGCACCATATCCGGGTGTGCAACAAAAGTACTTCCTAACGGCAAGCTCCCCCGCCATTTCCCCCCCATTTCGCATGTTTTAATATAGGCCTTAATTTGGGGGGAGGGGCTTAATTTCATTTCATGCCTATAAAACATGCTGGGACTTCCTATTGGGGGAGGCCGTATTGTTGGAGAGACAGGGTACCTGTTTGGTGATTGCGCGTGTTCAGCTTTCCCCACACCAGCTGAGGCCTGCAGCGCCAATCAGCCGAGAGGATAAAGAAGAGAAAAGCGCAGGGGCGGGTGACAGGGCCGATCCTGCGCTTTTCTCATCTTTCTCCTCTCAGTTGATCCTCGGAAGCTTTTTTTTTTTTACTACCGGTTCAGCTGAACCGGGCCAAACCAGTAGCATACCACCCATGGTATCCCCGCTGATGTTCTCCTTACTAAGGATCAGGCAGCCCGTCCTCCTGTGGGTCGTAGCTACCTGTGCGGAGATTCGCTAGGGCCACTTCTTTGCTTTCCGGTTTCAGGTGGAGCCACTGCTCTGTCTTGTCCAAGTAGTGCATAGCATAGACCGCGGGGGCCATCAACACCATGGTCTGTTCCGCACATCCGTGTGGCACCCGCAGAAGGGAGGAGAGGCCGTCAGGATCCAGAGAACTCTGAAGGGTGTCAGCAGGAACTGATCCTGTGGGAAGGCGAACAAATGATTTACCTGATTGCGGTTCAGACCCTTGGCAACTGGCCTGCACTTATGACAGCTGCATATAAACAGAGGGATAGAGTCAAGATCATGTGAAGTGTTAATACCACTTTATAAGGCCTTGGTAAGGCCAGACTTGGGATATGGCATCCAGTTTTGGTCACCACACTGCAAAAAAAGACGTTGACTCTAGAAAGAGTGCAGAGAAGAGCAACCAAGATGATTAGGGGACTGGAGGCTAAAACATATGAAGAATGGTTGCTGGAACTGGGTATGTCTAGAAAAGAAGGACCAGGGGAGACATGGTAGCAGTCTTCCAATATCTCAGGGGCTGCCACAAAGAAGAGGGAGCCAAGCTATCCTCCAAAGCCCCTGAGGGCAGGACAAGAAGAAATAGATGGAAACTAATCAAGGAGAGAAGCAACTTAGAACGAAGGAGAAATTTTCTGACAGTGAGAACAATTAATCAGTGGAACAGCTTGCCTCCAGAAGTTGTGAATGCTCCAACACTGGAAGTTTTTAAAAAGATGTTGGATAAACCATTTATCTGAAGTGGTGTAGGGTTTCCTGCCTTGGACTAGAAGGCCTCCAAGGTCCCTTCCAAGTCTGTTATTCTATTCTATTCTATTCTATTCTATTCTATTCTATTCTATTCTATTCTATTCTATTCTATTCTATTCTATTCCATTCCATTCCATTCCATTCCATTCCATTGACTCTGGGATCATGTGGTTGCCATTTGCAATCTTCTCAGCCGACTTCCGGCAAGCCAGGTCCACAGAAGAATCTGGATTCACTTAACAATTGTAGCAAAGAATGTCTTCATTGAGCATGGTCATGTAGTGACTCACTTTATGACCTTACCACTTAGCAATGGGCACTAATTGTGATCGTAAGCCGAGGACCAATGAAATCCTGACAAGTCCAATGGAAGCTTCTTCTTAGCTTCGCTCCTAAAACAGGATTGAACTGACAGGCGTATTAACTCAGGTGCCAGGGTGCAAAACGTCACCTCTTTTTCCCTTGATAATATTTATTTTTATTCCTCTATTCAATTGATTTCCAGCTCATTTCGCCGCAATAGGCAGTTCTGAGTCAGGAGAAGCTGGATCAGAGTCTGCTCAGTAAAAATAAGCAAAATACAGCAAAGCAGAACAATATATGTTAGCATCTAAAGAATATCTAAATAGCTCTTGCATGGCTACTTCAGACAATAACTCCATCAAAAGCTAAATCAGCTTTCTCCAATCTCATGTTCAACAGCAGGGTGGAATGATTCCTCCAATTATTCCCAAGCAAGTATGATCAACCAGTCAGCAAATAATGGAGAGACATAGGCCAACATTTTTGAAGAGCAACGAAACGATTAGGGCACTGGAGGCTAAAATATATGAAGAATGGTTGCAGGAATTGGGTATGTCTAATCTAGTGAAAAGGAGAAGTAGGGGGTGACATGATAGCTGTCAACCCTGAAGCCATTTTCTTTAGTACCTTTGGGGCTGCCACAGCAGAGCTGGGTAGAGTTGTGGGAATGGGAGGGGGGGGAAGTAGAGATAGCTGGGGATCTGTAGCCAAAACAAAGTTTTTTTTCCTCTGGGAACCAAGGACGTTCTCACCAGGTGTTAGGAAGGTGAAGACTGGGACCAACTGACACTGGACTGTGACCTGATTGGACCATGTGATAGACTCATGGAGAATGGAAAGAAAAAAAAAAGACTTTTAAAATGGGGGAAAACTGGGAATTTAGTCGGGTTTTTCACCAGGTGCGCCAATATGACACGTCCCATAAATCTGTACTTTGAGGAACGTGCCTATCTCAGGGTTTTGATTGTGTTGGGCAGGGATGGGATTCAACCCACACCGGTTCAGTGATTATGTTTTGCTCCGTGTGTGTGTAAAACAATCTTTAGCTGGGCCACCCGGACAGCTGAAAAGCGCTGCGTGAAGGTGCACAGTTTTTGAAAAGCCTTTTTTCCCCCCCTGCTTTTTCAATCAAAGCAGCTGAGGTTGAAAAAGCAGGAAATAAAGGACAGGTAAGAGCCCAGGCGGGCGGGTGGGCCAAACAGCGGCAAACACAGGACCAGTTCGGTGTCTCTGCTCTTCGGAGCTACCTGCTCTATAGAACCGGGCAGAACCGGTAGCATCCCACCCCTGGTGTTGGGTGTGTTACCTGGAATCCGGGCAATAGCGGTGTTCCAATATCTAAGGGGCTGCCACAAAGAAGAGGGGGGCAAACTATTATCCGAAACCCCCGAAGGCAGGACAAGATGCAATGGATGGAGACTAATCAAGGAGAGAAGCAATCTAAAACTAAGCAGTAATTTCCTATTATTTAGAACAGGGGTCTCAAACTCGCGGCCCGCTCCAGTTGCGGCCCGCAGGACGATATCCTGTGGCCCCCACCGTGATATGAAAGTATAATATTAGTGCGGCCCGCAGGGGGAATGGACCTCTGAAGGAAGTCCCGCCCGCCGTTCCTCGTCGTGGCTTCTTCTCCACCCTGAACTTTAACAAGTCCAAGTACAGGTCCAGACTTACTGATGATCATCTTCAAGCCATACTGAGGGTCTCAAGTGCCTCCTCTCTCAAGCCAAATGTGGCTCAGATATGTGAGAGGAAGCGTTGTCAAGTCTCTGGCAGCAAGGAGTAAGCTGGAGAAGCCATGTTCTGAGGAACTGTTCATGATCTACATTCAATGTTCCATTCATGTGTTCAGGACAGTTCATGTATTGGAGAAATCATTAACTGTTGATGACATTTGAGGATATTTTTTTAACGTTTTTTGTGGAATCCCTTATGCGGCCCAGCCTCACCCAGACTCTGCCTCCAGCGGCCCCCAGGTAAATTGAGTTTGAGACCCCTGATTTAGAATAATTAATCAGTGGAACAACTTGGCTTCAGAAGTTGTGGGTATTCCAACACTGGAGTTTTAAAGAAGAAATGTCTGAAATGGTATAAGGTTTCCTGCTTGGGGGAGGGGTTGGAGTAGAAGACCTCCAAGGTCCCTTCCAGCTACGTTATACTATTTTTCTGCTAAGAGGACCCGGTTGGGGAAGCTTATCTGAAATTACACTACTGCAGCCCTGGAGTAGTGAATAGAAAGCTAAGCAGGCTTGGCATCAAAAACTTCAAATTTGCTCTTCACCTGTCAGACGGACACTCATCTTGAAGTCTCCATCAGGGATGGCGTTGGATGGCAATTCGCCTGAAATCTTCACAGACCTGGTTTGTTCATCTAATCCAAACAAAAGATGGTAAAAAAAAAATTAACTCCATATTGCTCCAAGGAAGCATCTTCTAAAGCCCTCACAAATCGCTTAGAAATCGTGCCTCCGATAGCTTCCTTCCCCCCTCAGAAATACCGTCCTTCATTCAGACATGCCATATATTGGAAGAGGACCGCTCTGAGGAAATTTCTAGTGGTTAAGAGTAGTAGCTGTCTAACTTTTCATTTCTAGTCCACCAGCCTTTCCTCATAGCCAAATTAAAGAACAGTCAACTTGTTATTTAGCCAGTGGAAACTATGTACTATAAAAACTCTGATTCCTGTCATTCCTTGTGTGTCCAAACATATTTGGCCAATAAAAAATTCTATTGTATTTTGTTCTATTCCGTTCTGTTCCATTCCATTTATTGCCCTATTCATTGTCCTATTCTATCCATTGTCCTCTTCTCTTAACTTCTCTATTCTGCTCTGCTCTGCTCTACTCTAGTCTACTTTATTCTATTCTAATTACAGTATATTTAACTGGGTGAAATGGTGCTCCACAGGGTAAAGCATTTTGAACCAAGATATTTCAAATGGGCTAGTTTACAGAATGCATCCAAATTCTGGGATCTATGAATCTCTCGTGGGATTGAAATTTGGCAAATTTTATAAAACGTTTTATGATATAAAAACTACCATGGAAGCAGTGGTGGGATTCAATTTTTTTTTACTACCGGTTCTGTGGGCATGGCTTGGTGGGTGTGACTTGGTGGGCATGGTTTGGTGGGCATGGCAGTGGAAGGACACTGCAAAATCTCCATTCCCTCCCCAACCCACTAACCTGCTTTCCAGCTCTGTTCTCCTGTGCAGGGCAACCAAAGAAGACCCAGCCAATCAGCTGGGACTCAGGAGGTGGAGAATAGATGGGGGCAGGGCCAGTCAGAGGTGGGATTTGCCAGCTCTTCAAACTACTCAAAATTTCCATTACCGGTTCTCCAGAACTGGTCAGAACCTGCTGAATACCACCTCTGCATGGAAGGGTTTAGGACGTAATACAAAATGTCCTAAAGATTTCTTGTCCCGATGTTTGACTGTGCTAAACAGTTTAACATGGGCTATTTTTCAGGCAGATCCCTCTCTGAATGTTCAAGTGCTCATAATTTGGACACTTGATAATTGACTCATATTTATGACGGTTGCAGTGTGGCCAGGTCATGTGATCATCTTTTGTGACTCTCTGTCCCGCAAAGTCGATGGGGAAGCCAGATTTTCTTAACAATCATTTGACTAACTTAACAACTGTAGTGATTCATTTCACAACTGTGGCAAGAAAGTTCATAAAATGGGGCAAAACTCACTTAACAACTCTCTCACTTAGCATTGGAAATTTTGGACTCGATTGTGGTCGTAAGTCAAGGACTACCTGCATTGGACAGGACTCAAGTGCTATTCTAAGAGTAGTAAACTGCTTGTGGGCCTGTTCCCTGAAGTAGTAAATATTTTTTTTTTACCTCAGACACAATGTCTTACCTTTGCTATCAAGAGGAATGGTATATTCTTCTATACTGACGGCACCCTCTTTCTGAAAAGGGAGAAGAAATGAAACAGCTGTGGTTAAGCATCAGGTTCTCTCTCTTTTTTTGTAATAGCATTTTTATTAAGAATTATAATTACAGTAATAAAAACACATCGATCAAATTTAAAAAATCTTAAAAGGATAAAAAGACGAAGTAGGAGGTGCAGAAAGGAAAGGAACCAAGGAAAGCGAGAAAGAGAAAAGAAAGGAAAAATAATAAAGAAAAAGAAAAGAATTTTATGAAGAAGTGAATCTATAAAGAAGCAAACTTGAGCTTGAACATTCTTCTCCTTTCATTGCAATCTTTGGTTCCTTCTATTTCCCTTTCAGTTCCAATTTTTACTGTGGCATGATTATGTAGCTATTATTATCAAGTGATAAAAGAGGAATGGTATTTGTGAACCAAGTGGCTGCGGTAAATCTAGGCACAACTAGCAAATGTGGTTATCTGTCTGGAGAATGTT